AAAAAAAAAAAAAAAAAAAAAAAAAAAAGCACTGGTCGCCATACTTGTATTTTGGAAAAATGGATACAGGCACTTAATGAAAATCTGGTAACCTATTTCAGTGTCCCAGTTTGTCTGGTATAATTGAAATCCATTCCTCTGACATTAGTCTGTTCCTCTCTCTTTTTGTTTTCTATTTGTCCAGCTATCCATTCACTCATTCAGTCTTGTCTGTTATTTTTATATTCAGACTCTAGAATTGTAACTGGTACTTATACTCTAAGTATTATTTGAATGAATGCTGAACACGTTCCTTAAAAAAAGTTTTTTCCCATTAACAAATAGAAAAGCTGAATTCCATGAACAAATGTAGCCTGTTGTGCCACTAAGAGAAATGCAGATCTGAACGTGCCTTTGTTTTAAGCTCTAGGAGAGGTTGGTGTGTGGACTGGAAATAAGAAAAAAAATCTGTGGCACAAAGCTTGGGATGGTCACTTAGTAAATTCTATTAAATTTATAAACTTCCATTTGCCACGAGCTTCTGAAGTGTCTCTTTTTATTCTCTGTGTTCAGCCTGAGGATAGTTTTTATGTAAATGAAAAATTGATTATCTTAATTTTTTCCCCCCCGAACTGTCCAAAGCTAACTTCTGCTTTGTATTTCTGTTGTAAGCCTAATTACATTAAATAGTATTTATAGTTGCCTTTTTAAAGATCGACAGCAATTTCATTATTTTAACCTCTATTTTCTATGAACTCTTGAATTTTTCTTCTTTTGGAAAATATTTTATATTTTGACCTGGGTTCTACTTAGTGAATTGGTAACTACCATTTTAACTTTATTAGATCTCTTTCTAAGTGTGTCCCCCAAAATGAGAATTTCAGTGGCATTATCCAGTTACTAAATTTAATGTGTAGTTAGGGAAATTAGTAATGTATCTTATCAAGTGGCTCATGCCTATAATCATAGCCCTTTGAAAGACCAAGGCAGTAGGATCATTTGAGGCCAGGAGTTCAAGACCAGCCTAGGCAGCATAGTGAGATCTTGTTTCTGTTAAAAATGAAAAAAATGAGCCAGGTGTGATGGTGCATGCTCATAGTCTCAGCTATTTGGGAGGCTGAGGTGGGAGGATTGGTTGAGGCCAGGAGTTCAAGATTGCAGTGAGCTGTGATTGCCACTGCACTTTATCCTAGGTAACAGGGCAAGACCCTGTCTCAAAAAGAACAACAGATGGGCAGGGTGGCTCACGCTTGTAATCCCAGCACTTTGGGAGACCTAGGCAGGAGGATCACCTGAGGTCAGGAGTTCGAGACCAGCCTGGCCAACATGGTGAAACCTTGTCTCTACTAAAAATACAAAAATTAACAGAGCGTACTGGTGGGTGCCTGTAATCGCAGCTACTCGGGAGGCTGAGGCAGGAGAATTGCTTGAACCTGGGAGGCAGAGGGTTATGGTGAGCCACCTCTCAAAAAAAACCAAAACAAAAACAAAACCCCCAAAACAACAACAACAAAAGTATGTATTCACATTGTAGTATAGCTATTTGTTTCCTCCTCCTTTGCTGTACCATGAGCTCCTTGAGGAGAGGAGGTATCATGTTTTATTTGCATTTATACCTAGTACTTAGCTCAATATATACTACACTTTTTGCACTTGGGTTAATGCTTATGATATTTAATGTGAGCTTCAGTTTTCTGAGTTGTAAAAAGAGAAGTAATTTTGAATGCCCTATCTACCTCACAAAGCTGTTCTTTTTCTTTTAAATCTTACTTGTGAGAATTCTTTGTGCTCATAAAATATTATATAAATAAAATAAATGAAAATGTTATTAAATATATTTTCTGTAGAAGGAAAACTTATGTTGATTGAGCTATAAGTCAAATGTTGAGCAAAAAAGAAAGATTAAAAAAAGAAAAAACTTATAATGTACCATTGCCACAGAATTCAGATGACATCAGTGCACATTTATGCTGTTATGAAAAATTGCACTTTTGAAGATCCTATGAAACAATCAAATTGTAATCTGTATACTTCGGCCTTTATGCCAATCTGGGGCTAAGGTTTAATAATAGTAATAGGTATAATATTTCTGGTTATTTCACAAAACTATTTAGTGGTAATACTAACACTCCTTTAAATCCTTTCTTAATAGATATGAAATTCCCAGGTGGTTTTGATGGGGGCCTTGAAAATGTATTCTCTTAGTGGCAATTTTATTTGATTCTTGCATTTGGAATAAGCATAAACTTTGGAGCCAGACATCTGGATTAAGATATTAGCTATATTGCTAATACACTAATTTACCTTGGACAAGTTTCTTACCCTGTCTTTAAAACAGGGATAATAGTACCTTCCTTATTTAGTTAGTGTGCAGATTTAAGGAGATGACCCATGTAAAGTCTCTAGTATAATACCAGGAACTTAGTAGGTGATTATTAAAAGTCATTATTTTTGTGTCTTTCTTATTGCTGCTGATAATCAAAAGTACTATTAAAGGATATTGCTCCAGTTGATGTTACTGAAATCTTTTACGCTGAGGATGCTAGCATGTGTTCCTGAGTCCACTGTTGTCATTACCATTGCTGCCAAAGCAGTTGTCACTGTTTTCTTAGCCTCTCCATTGAGTTTAACAAGTACGGAACTCCTTAAACCAAACTTTAGTTCTTTCTTCCCTTAAGATGAATTTGTTAATCTTAACCCTAAGATCATATGGAACCAAAAAAGAACCCAAATAGCCAAAGAAGTCCTGAGTGAAAAGAATAAAACTGGAGGCATTACACTACCTGACCTAAAAATACATTTTACCAAAACAGCATGGTATAGAAACAGACACAGAGACCAATGGAACAGAACAGAGAACGTATAAATAAATCCATGTATTTACAGCCAGCTGATTTTCAACAAAAGGTACCGAGAACATACACTGGGGAAAGGACACCCTCTTTAATAGTGATGCTGTGAAAATATGCAGAAGAGTGAAACTAGACCCCTGTCTCTTACCACATATAAAAATAAACTCAAGATGGATTAAATACTTTTATGTAAGACCTGAAAATATAAAACTACTGGAAGAAAGCATAGGGGACATGCTTCTGAACATTGTTCTAGGCAAAGATTTTATGACCAAGACCTCGAAAGCACAGGCAACAACAAAAAATGCACAAATGGGACTATATTAAGCCAAATGGCTTCTGCACAGCTAAGGACCCATCCAATTAACAGAGTAAAGAGACAACTTCTAGAATGGGAGAAAATGTTTGTAAACGATTCATCCAGTAAGGGACTGATACCCAGAATATATGAGGAACCCAAACAACTCAACAATAAAAAAAACCAAATAATCCTGTTAAAAAGTGAGCAAGTGACATACAAAGACATTTCTCAAAAGAAGACATACAAATGACAAACAGGTATATGAAGAGTTGCTAATTATCAGTGCTTATCATTGCTAATAAGCAAATCAAAACTACATTGAGATATTATCTTACCCAGAATGGCCATTAGAAAGACAGAATAGCAGATGTTGGCAAGGATATGGAGAAAAGGGAACCCTCATAAGCTGTTATTGGGAATGTAAATTGATACAAATATTATGGAAAGCAGCGCGGAGATTTCTCAGAAAACTAAAATCAAATAGATGAAAAAAAAAAAAGAAAAAAAAAAAAACAAAAAAAAAAATATAAAAAATAAAAATAAGAACATATATAATAGAATACCATTCAGCCATAAAAAAGAATGAAATCCTGTCATGTGCAGCGACATGAATGGAACTAGAGATCATTACATGAAATAAGCCAAACAGAAAGATAAATATTGCATGTTGTCTCTCATGTGGGAGCTTAAGTAAATTTATTTAATGGAGGCAGAGAGTAGAATTATAAACAATAGAGGCTGGGAAGCATATATGTAGTGGAGGGTGATGGAGAGAATTTGGTTAATGGCTATGATACAGTTAGATAGAAAGAATACATTCTAATATTTAGTAGCAGAGTAGGGTGACTGTAGTGCACTGTATATTTCAAAATAGAAGAGAGGAATTGAAATGTTCCCAACACATGGAAATGATAAATACTTGAGGTGATGGATACCCCAAATAATATGACTTCATCATTACACATTCTAGGCAGGTACCAAATAGCACATGTACGCATGAGAATGAGCTGTTATACACCTGTTGGTTATGTTTAGTCTTTTTTGCACATTCCTGCTTCCTGTTACATTTTTCCACCATGCTATGAAGAGCAGGAGGCCCTCACTAGAAGCTGCCAGATAATAGCCATCCAGTGTTGTACTTTTTAGTGTGATTAGCTATGAGCTAAATAAATCTCTATTCATTATAAATTACTCAGTCTCAGTTATTGAGTTACAGCAACACAAAACAGACTAAGACATTTGTATTTCCCTAATTAGCATTGAACATTTTTTCATATATCTATTGGGCATTTTATATCTTCTTTTGATAAATGTCTGTTCATTCCCTTACCCATTTTAAATTGGATATGTTTTCTTTTTATAGAGTTGTTTGA